CAGTAGGGTTATGCAACAGCTGGGATACGAAGATGCTGGAAGCTGAAGTTCCAGTTAGAAAGCCCAGTATTTATATAGAAGAAACAAAGACCTAAATATGGATAACATTTATGGTGATGGAACCCAACCAAACCAAATCCATTGCCACTGAGTCTAATGCAATTCATAGCAACCTTATAGAGCACTTCTGAGGCTGTAACTCTTTAAGGGAGAAGATAGCCTCATCTTATACTCACAGAGTGGCTGATGGGTTTGAACCACTGACCTGTGGCTAGGAGTCCAATGTTTACCTGATAGTGCCTCCAGGGTTCTTTATAGTAATGGAACAGATGTTATTTAATAGTTAGAGAATTTTCCTGAAGATCTGATTCAAGTCTACAAGCAGATTTCATTTATTCCAGATCAAAGTACAAAACCTCACCTTGGGTATAAATGCAACTGATTTTCTTTTACCTTTCCTTATTCCTACTCCCATCTCTCCTTTAACATGGTGTAGTGGGCTGCTAAGCTCAAGGCTAGCCCTTTGAAACCACCAACTTCTCCAAGAAATAAGAGGTTTCTACTCTTGTAAAGAGTTAAAGTCTCGGAAACCCACAGGAGCAGTTCTACCCTGTCCTATAGGATCTCTATGAGTAAGAACTGACTAGATGGCAGTGATTGTTTTCTTTTGTTCCTACTAGATGTAGGAGCCCTGGTGACATAGTGGTTACACATTGGACTGCTAACTGCAAGTTCAAAACTACCAGCTGCTCTGCAAGAGAAAGTCGAGGCTTCCTACTCTCATAAAGAATTCGTTTCAGAAACTCATGGGGAAGTGACCCCTATAGGGTCACTATGAATTAGCATCAACTCAATGGCTGTTTTAGTTGACAGCTACTAGACGTAAGTCCTCAAAGCTAAAGAACACATTTATCTTTCTATCTCCAAAGCCTCTAAGACAGTGGTTCTCAACCTTCCGAATGCTGCGACCCTTTAACAGTTCCTCATGTTGTGACCCCCAACCATAAAATTATTTTCATTGCTACTTCATAACTGTCATTTTGCTACTGTTACGAATCATAATGTAAGTGTCTGATATGCAGGATATATTTTCACGATTACAAATTGAACATAAACATAATTAAAGCATAGCGATTAATCACAGAGAAGTATGGAATTATATATTATGAAATATTTATGTGTTTTCCGATGGTCTTAGGCGACCCCTGTGAAACGGTCATTCAACACCCCCCCAAGAAGTCGTGACCCACAGGTTGAGAACCGCTGCTTTAAGAAAATATGGCCTATCAGTGGTATTGTTCGGTGCTGTCAATTTGGTTCCAATTTACAACAGAACAAAAGGCTGAATGGTGGGGCATCCTCTTCACAGTCTTGCTATGTTTGAGCTCACTGTTGTAGCTGCTATTACAATCTTATTGAGGGTCTTCCTCTCTTTTGCTGATCCTCTACCAAACATGCTGTCTTATTTTCAGGGACTGGTGGCTACTGATGAGCTGTCCTATGAGACAAAATATCACCATCTCACCTCTAAGGAGCATCCTGGCTGTACTTCTTCCAAGACAGATTTGTTTTCTGCCAGCCCATGGTATATTCAACACCCTTCCTCAACATCATAACCCAAAGTCGCCAATTCTTTCCCTCCCTGCAGTATTCTTTATTGACTGATTCGTTTCCACATGCCTTAAAGGCACAGGAAAATATCATGGCTTGTGGCAGGTACACCTGAGTCCTCAAAGTGACATCTTTGCTTTATAACACTTTAAAAAGAAATCTCTTACAGCACATTTGCTCGGTGCAACGCGTCCTTTGATCTCTTGAATGCTGCTTCCATGGGAATTGGTTGTGGAGCCAAGTAAAATAAAATCCTTGATGCTTCAATCTCTCCTCTGTGATGTTATCCACTGGTCAGGTGGTGAGGGTTTTCATTTTCTTTTGGGGGGGTGCTCATCTCCATCAGTAAGTGCTTTTAGTCCTCTACACTTTCAGCAAGCTTGTCGCAGACTGTGAATGGGTCTTCCTCCAACCCTGATGACATGTCCTTCTTCATACTGTTTAGCCTCTCAGATTACTTGCTTAGTAAAGAGACAGGGAAAGGATGGTGACAGTATACAATCCTGACAAACAACTTTCCTGATTTTAAAACCACTTGTTTTTTTCACCCTTATTCTCTTAGAAAACTGCCTTTTACTCTATGTATACGTTCTATATGTTCTGCATGTGCAGTTAAGTATTCTGGAATTCCATGCTTCTCCATGTTATCCATAACTTGCTATCAACTGCACAACTGAATGCCTCTTTACAGTCAATAATACACAGGTACATATCCTTCTGGTATTCTCTGCTTTCAGTCAAGATATACACATCATCAGCAAGGATACACCTTGTCCCATATCCTTTTTCTGAATCTGGCTTGAATTTCTGGCAATTCCCAGTCCATGCACTGCTGCACCATTTCTGAATTCCCTTCAGTAAAACTTTACTTGTATACAATATTTGTAATATTAACGTTGGTGCTCAATCATTTCCACATTCTTTTGGACCATTTTTCTCTGGGATAGACTCAAATATGCATCTCTTCCATTTGGTTAGCCAAGTTTCTGTCTTCCAAATTTCTTGAGATAGATGAATGAGCACTTCTAGCATTGCATCTGTTTTCCACAACATCTCAGTTGGTATTCCTTCCACTTCTGGAGTCTTTTTTTTTTTTTTGGTCAATGCCTTCAGCACAGCTTGGACTTCCTTGAGTACCATCAGCTTGTGATCATATGCTACCTCCTGAAATGGTCGGACACTGACCGATTCTTTTTGGTACAATTTAATTGAGAAATAACTCCTTCTCTCAGGATTACTTGGATATTTGCAAAGACCTATCAATCCTATAAGAAGGATGTAATCATTGTCATTGAATTGTACATGTAGAAATGTACATTAAAGAAAGAAATATCAGCCAAAATTAGTCTTTGATGTCTCAAAGTAGACTCTACTCAGAGAGGCACAGCTCTTTAGAAAGCTGCTGTAGTGGGTGCTTGATTAATTTTGTAAATATTTGATAAGCCCCAACTCTGAGCTAGATCAATCAATCCATTTCAGGCTATAGACTTGGTACACATTATTGATTTTTACATCTTTGGCATATAGTTGTTGGTGCATAAATTTCAGTGATGGTTTTAATCTGCATTGAACACTAATGACTGAAAATCTGACAAGTTGTGGAATGACATCAGGAATGTCACATGAAGAAAGCAAATGATCATTTAACAGATAGTAAAGAAGGAAAAGACCTAAATGGATGTCAGAAGAGACTCTGAGTCTGGCTCTTGAAGAAAGGAAGATGAAGTACAGGAGGGAATTAGAAACCAGCACTCAGCATTTCTCAAGCTGAAAGAACTGAAGCAAACAGTCAAGCCTGGAGTTGTAATACTGAGTGGCTTGATGGGCAGAATGTTGAATAATGCTGGAAGCATCAAAGGAAGGTGAAAGAAATAAATACGAGTAAATGTACCAAAAATAATCGGTCAGTGTTTTTGTTTAAGTTCATTTGGAAAGACATAATGGTGGCAAATCTCTTGAGGATTTATTCGAATATTGGAAACAACAAAACACATGTAGTATCAACTCTATTACAACACATTACTATGTATCTCAAAAGTCCGCTCTGAAAGAAAAGTGCCCCAAATGCTTCAAAGCACATTGCTTCCCCCGCCCGAAGCACTCATGGGAGAAAGAGGGGGCGGTCTGCTTGTATTTAGTCTCAGAAACCTTACAAAAGGGTCTACTCTGTCTTACAGGGTCACTCTGACTCAAAACCAACTCCACCTTTCTCCTGTGGAGTGACTTGTGGGTTTGAATCACTGACCCCGTGGCAGCACTCGCCACAACCAGGGCTCCCTCTGAGTGGGAGCATTCTAAAGGCTTTGAAATGCCAATATGTTCCTGCGGTTCTGAGAGGTCACACACATGTGGAGGAATGCAGATATGGTCAGGGCTCTGCACATGCTCAGGAAAGACCTGACAGCATTAGGTTAATTTATAGCACAACCCTCCCTTAAAAGTCTATGTTCTGATCCATTTTACTCATTTATATAACAATTATTTTACCACTTTTGTCTGGAACGAATCTAGGCATTCAGGATATATCCATCAGTAAAACCTAAGAGCCTCGACATTATTAAACTTACATTCTAGAAGGGGGAAATAAACAACAAAAACAGGATACAATATGTCTATTATATAATATATTGTAAGATGATAAGGGCAATTTTGTTCCTCTCCTATTTAAGTTTCTTAAGTTTCTTGAACAGTTCTTTGAACCATGATGATATGTAGGATCAAGTTCAAAGTAGTTTACACCAGTCTTGGTCCAGCCTCCCCCCACCTCTTCACGGATCACTCTCTCCTTCACACGCTGTGCTCTGGCACAGGCTGCTGCTTCTCTGCAACATAAATATAGAAGCTTCTTCCCGCTTTCACCCGCTCTCTCAAGGAATTTACAGCCGTGTGTGTGGAAACGGAAGTATGTGTGTACAACCACATATTTTTTACATGGATACAGCCTACAGGAAGGGGATGAGTGCTATGAGAAAAGAGAAACTAGGACTTTACGGGGAGCCACGAGCTAGGAATGTGGAGGTGAAGTGACAAGTCAAACCAAACTCACTGCCAACGAGTCAATATCAACTCACAGTAACCCTATAGGACAGAGTAGAACTGCCCTGTGGGTTTCTGAGACTGTAACTCTTTACGGAAGTAGAAAGCCTTGCCTATCTTCTGAGGAGGGGCTGGTAGTTTCAAACTGTCGCCCTTCTGGTTAGCACCCCAAGAGGTGACACTCCGCCACCAGGGCTCCTTTCAGGTGGCAGGTCAGTTGCTTTAAATACGGAGAGCAGGATAGGCTTCCTGGAGGAGATGAGATCTGCACAAAGACTTGACATACATAAGAAACCTCAAAGAACCTAGATTTACTGGCTATCGAGTGAGAAAAAGGCCAGGGAAGCACTCACCAATCTTTATATTATGTTGTGGGTACTTTCGAATGAGCTCAATAATCTGGCGGGTAGCTTCTTGTTGGGAAGGAAGAACCAGGGCTGGGTTGCAATTGGTGTTATCTAGGTATAAGGTATGGATCTGCTTCCCCAGCCTCAGCGCTGGCTCCTTTAACATGGAGGGCGTATATCGAAAATCGCCTGCAGGAAGAAGCAAAGGAGGGCAGAGGATTGCTTAGAAATCCCCATGACAGCTTCTGGTCCAGGGGTTTCAGGATCTGCTCAGCTTTTCCTGATCCAGAAAAGGGAGTCCAGAAGGATGACCCATAGACACAAAAATCCAAAGTTTAGAAGAAAAGCCTCTCCCAACCTCACAACAGATGGTCATTTGTTTATTGGCCCGTATTAAGTACTGGGCCCTTCTTTGTGGAAAGTTCCATTCTGCTCCTGATTTTAAATTACTCTGCAGAAGTGGGAAACAGATTGAGAAAGGGTCACTGTTCTTCCATAAATAAAGGGTGAGACACCTTGTCTTCCATTATGAATTAAGGCTGCTTAAGTAGTAGCTATTCTGAGAAGGTGGGAGGGACCCCTCAGGAGACCCACCTGTGTAGAGGATGGTTCCAAAGTATCCTTCAAAGAGAAACATGACAGAGCCAGGGCAGTGATTGGCATCAATGAGGGTGACGGTCATGGTCTCTTGACCAATTTCATCTAGCGGCAGTACATGGCTCTCACCAACCTCCAGGGCCTGTATCCACTGCTTAGATACCTGAGGAAACAGTGGGTCATCCGGTAGACCACAGACTCTCTTCCCTGATGCCTCCCTGGTTTTCCCCAATCAAATCCTTAGACTCCATGGTACAGTTATGATGGGTGATTCCAAGCCATTTGTCCTTTGGTCCCCCTCTCTCCACCCTACCCTCTGTGCAACTTTCTAAGAAAACAGTGTACTTGGAGATTTCTAGACAGATTGCTAGACCTGGGAATCTGGAAAATCTGTATACGAGGGGCTTCAAAAAGTTTGTGGATACACACCTTCGATGAGCAATTTCCTACGATAGAAAATTAGGGGATAGGAATCATAGAATAAAGTGACTACAAGTGGGTTGGACTAATGATTAATGCCCTAGCTTGATTGACACACAGAGCCATGGTAGTTTAGTGGGTCACACATTAGGCTGCTCACCGAAATGTCAGTGGTTCAAATCTACCAGCTGCCTGTGAAGGAAAAAGATCGGGCTTTCTTCCCTCACAGGGGCATCTCTTTATGAGCTGGAATCACTTGATGGTAGTGCAGAGGACGGTTCCTAGTTCATAATGACCATTCAATAAATGGCGACATCTATTTTTGCATTAAAAATTTTAAAGTTCATGGAAAAATTCCCTTATCATTTAATTCCACTTGTCCAAGAAATTTTTGAAGCCCCCTCGCAGTTAGCCAGTACATTGTGTGGATTCTTCAGACCCGTTTGGGAACCCTTGGCCTCCTGTCAGCAAGAAGTGTGAATAGCGTAGCTTCTTCCCTCAACTGGGCAAACAGAGCTTCCCAATTTATAGCTGAAATGTCCTAGCTGGCTGACGGGCGCCACACTCCTATCATGGGTTACAGATGCACTTCTGGATTCAAATTTGGAAAGTTAGTGTCCTGGTCCACAGAGTTCGGCTCCAAGGCTGTGACACATAAGCGCAAACACCGCCCCCCCACCCCCTACCGAAGTCTGCATCCTTGAGTTTGGAGTCCCCACCCAGATGCCTCGCTAGCTCTTCGGAGACCGGTCCCAGCCCCCCATACCTGTAGGCGTCGATGCAAGAGGTAGGCAGTGATGGGGGAGCAGTAGAGGGGCCGGGCCCAGGTGCTAGACAGGCCCGCGGTGTGATCCGAGTGCATGTGGGACAAGAAGAAGAGGCGCGCGGAGGCCGCCCGGCGCAGGCTCCAGAAGTCCACCGCGATGGGCGTGTGGGGAATCAGGACTCCGTTCATGGTGGCGGGGCTGGAGGGTCACCAGGAGGGTCTTCATGGGGTTGGGCTGCCGCGTGCCGCCTCCACAACGGCACCCGCCAAAAGTTAGGCTGGGACGGGAACCGGGCCAGGGCCCGGGCTCCAATGGAAAAGGAAGCCCAGTGGCGGAAGGAATTACTGAAGTGAGCGGAAAGAAGGAAGTAGCTGTGTCCAGGGGGCGCTGGGGTGGGACCCCCACATCGCGGAAGACAGTAGGCGGCGCGCCACTCCCACCCGCGCGGGAACTGGGGCGAGCCCGGCCACTCAAAGCGCGCGCTGCTGGGCGGAGTCAGACCGAAGTAGCCGATTTCCGAGTGCCCAGCAGGGGGAGCCGCGCGGCTGCGCCTTGAGGTGAAAGGTTTGGGGAAGGGCACCGTAAGGTCGGAGTCTAGGCAAAGCTCGGTGCTCGCTGGGAGGGTGTGAATGACAGCTGCTCTCTGCGGGGGGCGGGGGCGGGACTTCCGGACAAAGCCAGCCCTGGCCCGTCGGTGAAAACAACCACGCGGAGGCGCAAGCAAAACTGGGACTCCGGGGGTTGCCGTAGGTGGGTGGTGGGTTGTAAATTGGGCGGAGGGCTGAGGGGCCGTCCGCGGAGCTCTATGGGCGGGGCGGACTAGCCTGGGCGTCTGAGAAAGGGCCCCACTCGGGCTTTTCCAGGAAGGGGAGAGGTTTGAGTGGCTGGGGTCAGGGCTCGGGCCCTGGGGTGCTTAGGCTGGGGCGGAGTCACGCCTTGAGTCTCATTAGGGACACATTTCCTTTACGCAGGTCCCAGCCAAAGACTGGGAGGAGTCGTCTAGCCAGGATCCGTGGGAAGTACCCTCGACTGTTGGAGAGGATGCCGTACCTGGGCTCGGAGGACGTGGTGAAAGAGTTGAAGAAAGCTATGTGTAATCCTCACATTCAGGCTGATAGGCTGCGCTACCGGAATGTCATTCAGCGAGTGATTAGGTATCTCCTGCCTCCCTTAGTTTCCTAGGGTCCCACCCCCGCACTTGCAGCCCCCAGGCCACCCAGGAAGAGAACGCTCGTACGTGGCAGTTGTATGATAGGATTTTCATCTTGGCTCTCCGGAGTGCTTTTGTGCTTGGCCTGGTGAGACTTCTTTTATTCACCTGGGTGATTTCATTCCTATCACAAGCGTTCACACTTATGCGTACTGCAGTGCAGTCCAGAGACTACAGAATATAAAATATATCCAGTCCAACTCCCTTTTCTTATCTGCAGACCCACATATTTTACTACCTGCTTGGTTTTTCCACCGTGCGAGCTCATCAAAACCAGGAAACCAAGCCCCTTGCTTGCCATCATGACTATTACGACTCATCGTGCTTCTATAAGCACTGTGTCCTGTGAGACAGGGTAGACAGGCCCCAGAAGGTTTCCAAGGCTGTCATTTTTACACAAGCAGACTGCCAAGTGATTCTTGGAGAAACTGGTGGGTTCGCTGCTGACTTTTAGGTTAGCAACAGAACACATAAACGCTGGGCCACCCGGGTGCCTCAGCTGATCAGTCACAGGTCCCAGTAGAGCCTGGGACCTTCCCTCCACCCCAGACAGGCCCTTCCATTGACACTTCTCTTGAACCAAGAGAACCAAGTCAATCAAGTTATAAACTCAGTCAATTTTGATGACACTGGGGTCTTCACTCTTCCTGGCAGATGGTGTGGATTCATAGTTGACTTTTTCAATGGGCATGATGCAGGCTGCAAATCTGAATACTTACCTTTATCTCCTATAACTGTTTCTCAAACTTTGTTTGCACAGAAGTCACCTGGATGCTTTTAGAAGAATTTAAATATTTTTAGTAGGATGGGGATCTGTATTTTTAACAAACATCCCACCTGGTACTGCTAGGAGACTGCAATTTGAGACACAATGAATGAACAGAATAATGCCCACGGTTCTTATCAGAGCACCCAAGGAACACCCACTGTAACTCATCTACCTCCCTCTTGATCCTCAAAAGACTACCATGTTTGCTCACCTCTATGCGGCCCATAGCATGCATCCTTGCCTCTCCATCACGGCTACCTACTGAGCTCCTGCTCAATCAGCTAAAGTATTGTTTCCTCTGTGAAGAAAATCTTTTTTAACTCTGGGAAGTGTCAGTCCTCCGGATCCCCCTGTACTTTGTACACTGTTGTTAGGTGCTGTCAAGTGAACAATAGAATGACATGCTGCTTGGTCCTCACAATTGTTGCTGCCCCTGTGTCAGTCCAACTAGTGGAAGGTCTTCCTCATTTTCACTGCCTCGCCACTGTCCCAAGCACGATGTTCTTCTGTGGGGCCTAGCTTTTCTGCTAATATGTCCAAAGTACGTTGAGATGAAGTCTTGTCATTCTTGCTTATTCTAAGGAGCATTCTGGCTGTACTTGCTTCAAGGCGTACCTCGTGCATTTCCCCTGTTAGAATACGATGCCCCACTGTCATGTAATCAGGATCGTCTTATCTGGCTCCTTACTAGACTTTGAGCTCCTACAAGTGAGACCATCAACATTGTATCTCCAGAGCATATCCCTGGAAGTTAGAAGCTCAATTTCATTGGAATGCACTAAGGTTTCAAGGAGCATTTTCAAAATGAATTTTGAAGAACAGTGCTTATCATACGTCGGTCCATGGCGTAAAGCATAATAGACAGAAGTAGGCCTGGTTGCTTCCCTCTAACCGATTGGGTTAGATGACCAAGCATGTGTAACTAAAACTCCCTCTGTGGTGGTTGGGGGTTTAAGAGTTTACTTCTTGCATGTGTCTTGGTTTTAGGCACATGACTCAGGGATTGGACATGTCTGGTGTTTTCATGGAAATGGTGAAGGCCAGTGCCACTATAGACATCGTTCAGAAGAAACTGGTTTATCTGTACATGTGCACCTACGCCCCCCTGAAACCAGACCTAGCTCTCCTTGCCATCAACACCCTGTGCAAAGACTGCTCAGACCCCAACCCGATGGTGCGAGGGCTGGCCCTGCGGAGCATGTGCAGCCTCCGGTGAGTATCCTCGTCCTCCACTCCACCCTCAGGGGCTGATGAAGCCAGGAGGACCGAGGCAAGTGTTCCATGAGGCCAGTGGTTTTGCTCTCCTTCAAACAAAACTCATAGGACAGAGTAGAAACACCCTTTTGGTTTTCCAAGATTGTGACTCTATATGAATAGAAAGCTTCATCTTTCTTCTGTGGAGTAGCTGGTGGTTTCGAACTACTGACCTTGTGGTTAGCAGACCAAAGGGTTACTCACAACACTACCAGGGCACCTTATTTGCTCTCGTTAGTACTGGGCAAAACACCATTTTACCCTACCCTAGAATTTCTGCCCCTGCTTTGGCTTAGTAATCCATATAATTTGGTTTTGTTAAAGTTAGTTATGCCTTCTCACTCTCGGTGTAAAGCCCTTGGTTTGGGTGAAAAATTTCTAAAGACAATGATGTACGTAGCTTCTGCATTGCTTTTGCAAAGAGCCCTGGTGGTGTGGTGGCTAGGCATGTGGCTGCAAATGGAAATGTCAGTAGTTCATGCCCACCAACCACTCTGCCAGAGAGGAATATAGCAGCCTGTGGGGCACTTCTTCTCGGTCCGTATGGGACCAGATGACAGTGGGTTTGTGGTTTGGGGTTTGGGGTTGCCTCTGCACCATTACTCCAAAAGAGAAGTCAAACTGGCTTTGTCAGCTTGGCAGAGGCTTTCTCTCATTTCACCATGACCGTGATACTAGTTAGTTAGGGATCCGACTTCCATATGTGTTGTTTAGGATGCCTGGTGTACAGGAATATATCCAACAGCCTATTCTCAACGGTCTACGGGATAAGGCTTCATACGTCAGGAGAGTGGCAGTCCTTGGCTGCGCAAAGATGCATAATCTTCATGAAGACTCTGAAGTGGGTAAGTCTCAGGGTAAGCCATCAGCACCAACATCCCATGAGGCTCTCTGATGTGCATGGCTGTTAAAGACTGTGGCGCTTCGGCAGAAAATAGTCCTGGGGCCCTACTCCTGCCCGTGTTTCTTTAAGCAGTTTGTAGGGCTTGACATTGCCAGGGACTCAGGAAGGCCTTTCTTGGTAGGCCCCGGAGCTACCTCTGCCACAGTGCTGTAGACCAGGCTGGAGATGAGGGTCTGTAGCCATGCACCTTGTTGTTGGGCCATGTGGTATAAGCACAGCTTTTTCTGCCTGGAGTTACTGCCGTGGCTCCAGCTCTGTGATCCAGAAACTTTTCTTCGTGACCTAAGACCTTTGTTCTCTTTTGCAGATGGTACCCTGGTAAATGAATTGTACAGCTTGCTGCGTGACCAGGATCCAATTGTGGTTGTCAACTGCCTGCGGTCTCTAGAGGAGATTCTGAAGCATGAAGGGGGTGTTGTCATCAATAAGCCCATTGCCCATCATCTCTTAAATCGGTTTGGCTGCCTTAGTGCTCTTCTTACGGGACGGGTATGGTGGTGGGACCTTGTTGACCTCTGTAATGAAGGAGGGGTCTTGAACAACTGCAAAGGATAGAAAAGAATGTGAACCCTTGTTAGCTGGGATGATAAACTTTACCCTTTTCTACATCCATTGTGTCCCCCCAATTAAGCCATTTAGGCTGCTTTAAAATGTAGAGAACCTATGGAATGATCTGAATCTATATTAACTCCTAATAAAATGGTTTGGAAAACAAAAAGTGTAGAGAAGCTGGGTCCCGGGCACGCTGTTCGTTGATGAGTATGCAGTTACACTGCTCACGCATCATGGAATTTTGTGTAAACTTGAAGGAGTCCGTCAGACATTTATGGCAGACCCTATTTTTAAGAATTCTTCACTTGTTATGATGCACAGCCACAGGGTGATGTGGGAGTAGCGTGGGGATGTTCCTCATTTCATTGCTCAAACAATGTTTTTGTTTCCTCTTGCGGATAGAATGTCAAAGCTGGACCAATGGGGACAGGGGGAAGTATTGAACTTTCTGCTCCGCTACCAGCCCCGCAGCGAGGAGGAGCTGTTTGACATTCTCAACCTCCTGGACGGCTTTCTCAAGAGCAGTAGTGCAGGCGTGGTGATGGGGGCCACCAAACTCTTCCTGGCCCTGGCCAAAAACTTCCCCCACGTACAAAAGGACGTGCTTGTGCGCGTCAAGGGACCTCTGCTTGCCGCTTGCTCTTCAGAGAGCCGCGAGCTCTGCTTCGCCGCCCTTTGCCACGTACGCCAGATCTTGCATAGCTTGCCGGGTCACTTCAGCCGCCACTACAGGAAGTTTTTCTGCTGCTACTCGGAGCCCCACTACATCAAGCTGCAGAAGGTGGAGGTGCTGTGTGAGCTGGTGAACGACGAGAATGTGCAGCAGGTGCTAGAGGAGCTTCGAGGGTACTGCACCGATGTGTCTGCCGACTTTGCACAGGCTGCCATTTTTGCCATTGGTAGGTGCCTCCGCTTTTCCCTCTTGGGTGCCATAAGCACCCAGCTTGCTGTGGCCAGAGGGAGCCTAGAGGACCGCAGGGAATGGCTCTCGCTTCAGAGATGAGGCATCCTGAACCGAAGACCATAGATAGGAGCCAGCCAAGAGTTTTGTTGTGGATAAGACGCGGCTTGCCGAGGATAGGCCTACACGTGTCTTCCTTGTGGCCACAGCGCTTAGAATTCACGTTGCCTTGTGTTTTCCATAATCTAAGTTTGTCCTGTGTCATATCACCATCTTGTGGGGCAGTCCGTGCAAGAGGACAAGTTTGATTCATAATTTGATTTTATCCTTAAAAAACATCTATTGTGAATTAGGTGAAGGGCTACAGAACCAACCAGTTTTCCACTTAATGGTGCATACCCCTTTTGTTTCATGGCATGGACTGCAGCACCCACAGTGTACCGTCCCTTATCCCACTTCCTCCCTGCATTTTCTATCCCCATTGCTCCTTCTTTGCTAACCCTGCTCCACTTGGCCCCTTTGATTTCACGTGATTGATGATCCTCAGGCGTGCACACCTCACTAGTGTTACAGCTTCCCTTATGGACCTGTCGTTTAGCTGGGAATAGAGCCATGGGGGTGGGCTCATTTCCAGACCTGCAGGATGACATAAGGTCATAGTCTCAGGAGAGTTCCACCAGTATCCATCTCACCAATAAACCTGGGCTGTTTTTTTTTAAACATTTTGAATTTTATTTGACATCACCCCCCACCTACTCAACACTAATAGACAGCCTTTCGGAATATTTGTTAATGGTAACTAGCTACCATCCAGTTCTGGTCTTGGGTCTCTGAGACTGATATTCTGTGGTCCATTCGTCTGTTGAACTAATTGCTTCCACGTATCTTCTATTTTTATCTCTTCTCTCCTCCTGCAGAAGACAGATAGGGCTTTCTACTCCTGTAAAGAGTGACAGTCTCAGAAACTCACAGGGGCCATTCCACCCTGTCCGAGAGGGTCACTTTGAGTCGACATCGCCTCAATGGCAGTGAATCTTTCCTCTGGGCAGGGAAAGAACAGTAGTTGCACCTTCAATGTCTGCTCACAGCTTTTAAGACCCTAGTCACTACTCCCCAAAGTGGGTGTAGAGCTTCGTCTTTATGGGCTAGCTATGCCCGTTGACCACGGTGTTCCTCAAGACGATGGTCCTGAGCCCCCAGGCCTTATTAGAATCACTTTAGAGATGAAGAACCCCCGCCTTGAAAAGATAATGAATTTGCCCAATGATCGTATCATTTCTGAAGCTGGGACTGAAACCTAGCCCTCCTTACTCAGCGCCTGCTATCAGTTCACCAATTGCTTGTTGAGTTCAACTAGCTTTGTATTGTGCTGAAGAACGACAACGAACATAGAACACATCTTCAGTCTACAGACATTGTCCTACCACTCTCTTGAGCATTTAAGGCCAGAGTGATTTACAAATGAGGGGGGGGTGGTATTCAATGTGGAAGGATTTAAGTAGCAGATGAGGAAAGCTCGTATTTGGAATAAACAATGGTTATTTGTAGGCACCGAGAAGAGGGCACAAAGAGCAAGTCTGCCATCGGGAGATTGCTGTCAGGTCCCCCCACCCCCCCACCCCCAGCACCCAGCAGGAATACCCCTGTGCAGGGGTGTTGCTGTGAGCAGCATGCCTCAGGTCTTCTGCCACCTAAATCAACCTCTGTTTTCCTGAACGTGCTCCACCATGTTCAACGGGAAGTTCTTTCTCTAGGAACGTTGAATTTTCTAGTGATGAATTGCAAAATAGGGACTCACTCTTAACCACACCTCCCTTGACAACACACATAAAATCCTCACTAAAAAGCGAGGGGTGGTTTTTGTATGTTTGTTTGTTTGTTGTCGAAGATCTTTCTGGTCCTCTCTGTCTTTGGACGGCAATGATTGGACAATGAGGTCCCAGCACCCAACCTGACACTTCCTCGCTGCACTCTCCTCCCCTGTAGGTGGCATTGCCAGGACCTACACAGAGCAGTGCGTGCAGATCCTGACAGAGTTGCTGGGACTCCGACAAGAGCACGTCACCACCGGTAACGGCTCCCTGGCCCAGAATGTTGTTGTCGACTGCCCGTGGTGAGGGCCCCCTTGCTGCTAACTGCAAGGCTGGTGTTTCAGATCTGGCAGCCACTCTCAAGAGAAAGACCAGGTTTTCTGTTCCTGTAACCATTTCCAGCCTCGGAAACCCACAGGGACAGTTCTGCTCCGTCCTCTAGGGCTGCTGTGGCAGTGGGCTTGGTTTGGTTTTGGCTTAAGCTATCGTAGTTGCTCAAGAACTATGTCTCACTGACTGCCTTGGCTTGTTGCAGCGGTGGTGCAGACTTTCCGAGACCTGGTGTGGCTGTGCCCTCAGTGTGCCGAAGCTGTGTGCCAGGCGCTGCCAGGCTGTGCAGAGAACATTCAAGACAGTGAGGTAGACGCTCCTCGTCCTTGACTTCCACGCCCAGGGGGAGCGCTTGAAAAAAAACCTAAGGACGAATTGCTCTCTCAGATTCTCTCTTGGTTGTAAGTGGCCTATCAGTGATGAAAACACTAGGGCTTATTGATTATATTTATGATACACACTTTGATATAGTTGTTCCCTTGACTCAGTTTTGAGTCAGAGGTTTAGACCGCGGACTCTTCAGCTGAAATGAGAATCTGAGTTGGCTGTCCATTTTTTGAAGCATCCCATCCCAGCCTACTGACTTACATCTTCAGGGTTATGGAGGCTTAGACATGTACTTGTCTGTTTTTAAGAAACTGCACAGATGACTCTAATAACCACATTTGTGAAGTAATTTGAAGAAATTCTGTTAGTAGCTCCACCACATTGTAAATCACCAACTGCCCCCAAAGCCGAGGAAGCCCTCTTGCTTAACAACAAGAAGGTGTAAAACAGGAGAAGGTCTTGAGCTCCCTTCCCGTGTGGGCGCTGGAATTCCATCCCTGTCAGCTGCGGGGGCTTTAGTGGGCGAATGGATGCAAGACAAATTGAAGTAGCTTCTCTGCTGACACTAGGGAGAAAGCAAAACCAAGAATTGTTCAGTATCTCCTGTGTTCTTGACAGCTCAGTACTGAGTGCCTGTTCCTCTCCCCTTAGGGAAAGCAGGCGCTCATTTGGCTACTTGGGGTCCACGGGGAAAGAATCCCAAATGCACCTTACGTGTTGGAGGACTTTGTAGAGAATGTGAAGTCCGAGACGTTTCCAGCTGTGAAGATGGAGCTGCTCACCGCACTGCTACGCCTTTTCCTCTCGCGGCCCGCTGAGTGCCAGGACGTGCTGGGCCGCCTGGTGTACTACTGCATAGGTAGGTTCTTCAGAAGGAAATGCATGTACAACTAGCCTGCACCTTTAATGGGTCCTCACAGCTGTCATTGTCTGCTGAGTCTGCTCTGGGATCTGAGAAGAACATGTGAACGTTTTCTCATATTCTCCTTCCTTTTGTTCCTCCCCCACCTGCCCCCGCCACCCCACCCCATTATGGTGAGCACAGGTAGTAAGAGAATAATGTTTTTGCTTTTTAATGAACTCAGTCTGTTGTCTTATCTCAGAGGAAGAAAAGGATATGGCAGTTCGGGACCGAGGTCTCTTCTATTACCGCCTGCTCTTGACTGGTATTGATGAAGTGAAGCAGATCCTGTGTAGCCCGAAATCGGACCCATCTCTTGGGCTATTGGAAGATCAGGCAGAAAAACCCGTGAATAGTTGGGCCTCAGACTTCAACACACTGGTGCCAGTGTATGGCAAAGTCCGCTGGGCAACCATCTCTAACCTCCAGAGGGCAGAACGCCGTGGCCCAGAGCTTCCTGCCCCTGCATCCTTTGCCACATCAGGTATACATTGCCTTACGTTTACATTTGATCATAGCAAACCCTGATCTTTTGCCGTGGCTGGTGGAGAGTAGCGAGTCCAAGCCAAATCTCAGGCTATTGCGTCAGGTTGTGCTTTTTGAGCAGGCAAGATGCTCATCCTTGGTTGTTGAAGCCATTCATCCAAAGCTAAAGGCCACATTGTGTGTTTTGGAGAATTTAGATTTTAAAAAAATGGAGCTCCACTCGGTGAAGAATGTGTTTTAACTCAAGTGTTCTGACCCTTTCAGAACCCTTGATTCCTGAAGAGAACAAGGAGCAGATACAAGAGCTCTCGGATGCTGGAGCCCTTACACTGGTCCCCAATCACCAGATTACTGCGGAGTATTTTGAGAAAACATGGCTGCGCCTCAAAGTTGCTCATCAGCAAGTGTTGCCTTGGCAGGGAGCAGTCCATCCCGACACCCTCCAGGTGGCCTTGCAAGTAGTGAACATCCAGACCATTGCAATGAGCAGGGCAGGTGCCCGGCCCTGGAAAGCCTACCTCAGTGCTCAGGATGACTCAGACTGCCTGTTCCTAGCAGAACTGCTGCTGGGACCAGACCCCTCGGAGATGCAGGTCTCAGTGAAACAGCAGGAGGCCAGGACCGAGGCCCTCAGCAGCTTCATTTCTGTTCTAGAGACTGTGCTCGGAACAATCGGAGACATCACATCCTAGCCCATGTGAGCTGTCGTCCTGCCCTTAGTGGTTCCTAGTCGAGCTGCCTGGAAATCCATGGCATGTCAGATTCGAAGGAGGATGGGAAATCTAGGAGGCA